TCTCGAGATTCTAGAACTATCTTAGAGGTCATGTTAGATCCTATAAGTTAGATCCTCCTATTTTGAAGATCATATTAGGTTCTTCTCTTGTTCTTTTATTATTAAGGAAATTCGAATTTAAGAAATCATGTTAGATCTTCTTTTACTATTTTACCATCAAGCTATCCAGTAATGGTTCATGGGCACAACCTTAGTAATGCATGTGTTCCGGTTTCCTTATATTGAATTAGTTACACTAATATAAAAAAAGCTACTGATGAAAATCTTTTAAGTATATCTACCATCACACACAAATACCGTCTAAAAGTATATATATATAAAGTTTTATCTTTCAAGTATATATAAATGTATTTCAGTTACCCAAAGTCTTGATATGGAAGTAAAGAAAATGGTTACTAGACACGAGAAGGAAAAGTGGGGAAAAAGTAAAAACTAGAGAAAGAGAAAGAATAAAGAGTACATAACATGGAAAAACCACTAATTAATATTTAAACATTCTGATCATTAATTAGTTTCAAATTAACCAATATCTTGATTAAATAATGTAAACTATATATTATACCAAGGTAGAAAAGAAAAGAGAAGAAATTAAAACCTCTCATAATTAGTCTAGATTAAACCATATTATGAAATACGAAAAAGAAAATTAAAAGATGTATAAAGACATACAAGAAAACGGCACACACTTACAAATACCAAATAATAATAATATAATTATGAAAATACTAATTAAGCGAGAAACTTACCTAGAATTTACTTCCATGTTAAGCAAGAGTTGTGTTGATAATTAAATATATCATAATTTCCATCAATAATATAACAATAAAGATTAGCTCATGACCTAATCTCACAAATTCTATCTCACAATCCTAATGTGGCAGCTTGCAATTGATAAGATAAAAAAAATTCATCAGAAACCAATTATAAACTATTATGTCAGAGTTGTAAGAGAAAGTTTATGAGATTAAATTATAAGTGTAATATTACCCGTAATATAATAACACTTATGTTCTCCTCCTTCTCTTTGCATCTCCAATATAATCTACTTGCAGACGTCTCTCTCACTCTCTGCATAATTCTAGATTTGTTTTAGCTGTAAAAATCTATCGAAGTTTCGGTTATTATTGTAGAAAACACTAAATACCACGAGAATATTTTGCTATTCTGACGACATATATTCTGACGTACACATATTTCGTCGAAATATCGAACCAACTCTTAACACACAAAAATAACTAATTATAAAACCTTTCCCGACAAAAATAGCATCGGTGAAGATATTTATTAAGACACAACAGTTTCATCATAATACAATACAAAAGTTGCGTTCTTAGTGACGTAGTTTTGTCACTGAAATATAGCAAATGTCTTGTGGCTAAACCATTAAGGAAAATGATAGAGTTATCAAAAGTTACACACCGAATTTGTGCATCGAATGACGTGATAAAATCCTGATAATTAATTAATATTAACTTATAATGAATCAACGGTTAGGATTTCGTCACGTTATTCGGTGCATAAATTCAGTGTACACCCTTTGATAACTGTAGCATTACTCAAACCATTAATATATCTTTTAATCTCTAAAATGAAAAGTAACCCACTCAGGGGTAGCCCAAAGGTAAGGGTTAACGAAGAGGATTGCAAATAGTTCAACTCACAATCCAAGTTCGATTCCCTCGTTGGGCACAAAGGTAGCACCTTTATGTACCCATGATTTATCGGGGGAAACATAACAGTGCGTTGTTGTGGATTAGTTCTTCCTGAAGATTCGTTAAAGTATGTGTAAGCTAGTTTAGACACTTTAGTTATTAAAAAAAAAAAAATGAAAAGTAATTTTTTTTTCAAATTATATAAAAAATGTTTCTATAAATAATTTTTAAATTTTCATTAGAAGGTTTGTCATTAATTAACTCAAATAAGCAAACATTGCTAATTACAACAACTTATTTAATGGGAGAGTATCGCTACCCCGAGGTTTCTGAATTTATCATTTCAAATGACAAATTTTTTTTTTTTTTAGCCTTTTTATTAATGGATCCTCGAAGTTTGAAAAATGTATCATTAATACCCCTTTACTTTATCAAATGGATCTTCAAAGTTTAAAATTTTTATCACATATACCCCTTTGACCTTTGCTCTATCTCTATTACTTTGCTAATAGGTTTACAAAATATTTTCTTATAAGACCAAAATTATCATTTTATCCCATACTTTTTTTAAGAGCAAAGTTATCATCTCACATAAGAGATTTAGGGCAAAGGAGCATCCATGATATTATTCTCAAACTTTGAGGATTCACTGGATAAAATGTGTGACAGTTGTCTGATAGATTTGAAAACCTTAACGGCAGTCTATAATATTTTCTCTTTATATTTTCTAGGTCCTTGAGGTTTAAACTAATTATCTTTGATCAACTAAAATTGAAAAGTAACATTGTTGTCCTTTCTAGTAAACAAAGAAAGTAACCTAATGTCCAAATAACGCCAATTTGTCTTGTTTGTGACAATCAAAAGAAAGAAAATAATATATATATATATATATATATATTTTTTTTTTTTGAAAAATATATTAAAAAAGAAAGTGGTTGTCTTCATCTTCTCTAATATAGTCACAGTATATTTAAAAAAGGATTTAAATATTATTTTTACCTTAATTCAAGAAGAAACGAAAAAAAAAAAAAAAAAGAGTAAATTAAATTTAAAGAACTATTAATATATTTTTGATGAGGCCTATAACCATAAGGAATTATCTACCCATGGATAGCCTGGCGGTAATGGTGAACCAAGGGGGCTATAAATGGTCCTATCCACAGTCTCAGGCTCGATTCTCCTTGCTATTAGACGCAAATATAACACTTTTGTCTATGATTTATCTGCGAGGCCATAGTAGTGGGTTACTGTAGAATAGCTTCTCTTGAAGATTAGTTGAGGTGTCCGAAAGAAAGGTTAAGACAACAAATCCCCCTGAAGATTAGTCAATGTGTACATAAACTTGCCTAGACACCTTAGTTATTATTATTATTATTATTATTATATGAACAATGCTAGTTTTATAAAGATAAATACAAAGGAAGCATACAAAGATAATTACAATATTTGATTTTCATAATTTCTCTCTCTCTTTCTCTTTTTCCCCTTTTTTTGGTTTTTTTTTTTTTTTTCCTGACATCACTTTGTAACCCTTTATAAAGATATTATTTTTCTTATTATATATGGATAGCTGCCTTGCCCGTAGCCAGCGTTGCATTTCGGTCCCACTAAAGGTAAATGATGTCTTGGGAGCAAGCGAAAAAATCGGCACTTCAAATTATTAGCGGATGCAAAGTCTGTGTACCCAAATTAACTCAAACTAAAAATAGGGTTGCCCATATAATGTCATCTAACATTAATGGAAAAGTCGAAAGAGAACAAATTGGCAACGCCCTCTACATCGTGTTCGAATGGTATTCTGCATTTTCCTGATGGCGGTAGTCTGCTAGATGTCGATTTACAGAGAGATTATTTGGCGAGTAATAAGAAAGCATGGGTGTGTTGCACATGAATGTGAGAGGAGATTAGGCCAAAGAGCACGTGCTTTTGCCCGAGGCAAATTACTTGTAATGCTGCATGCACTCTTGTCTCTGCGAACCTTTTCTTGATGTCAAAACAACTGCTTTGAATTACCACCTATTTTTAGGCAATAATATCTGCCTTCTGAACTCATTTTAATGATTCTTGTCGTTTTGTCTTTAGTTCTATCTCTGAACTTCACTGCTTCGATCCTTCTGTTATCAGTAGCAGAGTTTAAGATTTATAATTATATTGCTTGCTAAGCCACAAAACAAAGCCACACCCCAGCTGGGCGGCACGACTCGGATTCAAATTACAATACTAGTTATTTTGCGCGTGCTCAGAAAAAATCATCATACTACTAGATTTTCTTTTTATTTTTCTGAATTATTTGAGCTCATTGGAGTATAGAGCTTAGAATTCAGAATCACTAACTATATGTATGTCATAACAGCGGTGCCATAACATTCTTTTGTTGAATTAATTAACATGATTTAAACTATTAATTGGCGTGAATCAACTAGAGTACTTCAATTTATTTCTATTCTCTGATCGCTATATGTGACCTGATTGTAATATCTTATTTATAAAAAGGTAGTGGACATAAGATTTGTTTTGAGCATCCGAACCACTTTAAAAATCATCTCCCATTTATTTACTTCATTGCATTTTTCATTCACGTGTAATTTCTAAGCCAGCTTAGCACTTTGCCCGTGCAAATCATTGGTATTAAAATCAAGTATCAACAAGCTCCTTGAAGCCCTAAACTCAAACTCCAACAACAGCCAACTCTGAAAATGTATACACTCAATTGACCCAAAAGAGCATCTACCATTTCCAAGATGTTGAAGTGAAGACTGAAAGTATGTGGTTTTGGAGATTAATGAAACGCTGCGTTTTGGTATTTGTCTGTGTTAAATCTGATCGTTGATCCAAATCTGATCTGATGGCTGAGAATCTTCACTAAGTTAACAATATAAAAAGGGGGCAATGCACAGTCAATTTAATTGAGCTGCTGCGTTTTTCCCTGGTTGAAGAACTTTATATTCTCGGTTTTTTCTCTTTATTAAGCAGTTTAGATTGATTTGTGAAATCCTTGTAACTTGGATTGATTGGGTAATTTGGTAATCAATCAAAAAGGCTTCTTTGCTCTTGTTTTTTTGGGATTCCTGGTGAGTGTCTGTAGGATTAGTTACTGTGAGAGTTTCTTGTAATTGTTGAGAGTTTGATTGGGGATTTGTAGTTGTTCTTGGTTTATCTAATAAGTAGTGTAGCGAGCTCTCCCATTTCCAGAGTTCAACGTGGATGTAGGTTATTCAATTTGGATAAGTGAACTACGGTAAAATTTGTGTTGTGTTTGTTCTTGATTTTCTTGTGGTTTTTGTGATATATTGATCTGTGTCTTGTTATTTAGTTCCTACACAATAATATATAGATAAACGTTCACAAATGTATCACGAGGATCCTTCCTCCTTCTTTGCACCTTCATGGTGCACCTCTCTGGATTATTCTTCTATGTGGATATCCGGCTGTCGACCATCCTCGTTTATCCAACTTCTTTATGCACTTGGTAGGTCAGAGATCGAGTCGTTGCTATCCGAATTGGTAGAGAACAGTGCCAGTAGAGTAAGTATAAAGTAAACTGTCATCAAACAAACTAACAATGGTAAACAATTTACATCTAGACACTATTAAGAAAGAGGATAAGATAACGACTAAGTTGGCGAGTTTGCAAGAAGATATGGCGGATCAACCCATCTCCTTGATTGCTAAGAATTTGAGCGAAGTTGGAAAGCCAAGTGAGGAAGTAGATCGGGCGCTTGATGAACACGAGTCAGCAATGGCAAATATGATTCAAGAGGTGGATAAGTTGAGGGTAAACACGCTTAAGGAGTTTATTAATATATTGACGCCGAAGCAAGCGGTGGATTTTCTAGCTTCAAGTAAGAAGTGTTGAAGTAAATGATATTTTGCTGAAAATCATTTTGCATGTTTGGTTTGAACGTTTGGCGCCAGTTTTTGAACTAAAAGGGGTTGTCTGTCAAGTGCAGTTCCTGTCCATTTTGGAAGTGTATTTGTGTGATGTTCAGGTGAAGACATCCGGTGACTAAGGTCACAAAATCTCAGTGAAATTTATGTTTGTTAAGGGTAGTTCAAATTGTAGCATATTTAAAGATTATTTATACTGAGAAGTTGTTGTAACAGTGATGTATTAGGTTCATATATCTCTCAGTTTATGAATGAAAATATAGCATGTTTTGCATTCAGTTTTACTCTTCTTATTTTTAGCTCTCTTTCATGCACGAAAACCTTTCTTTCTCTTAGCTTTTGATCCCTGAAAAACCTACAATTGGTATCAGAGCCTCTTTGATCTTTCAGGACCAGAATACTAATGCAAGAAAAGCTTCTCCATGGCATCCAGTTCTGCTCCAATCTCTGCTCCAGTTTTCAATGGTGATCAATACCATGTTTGGGCTGTTAAGATGAAAACATACCTGAGGGGCCATGGTTTGTGGCAATATATGGAGGAGGAGAAGCAAGTTCCCTAACCTGGACCAAACCCGATGCTGAACCAAATGAGAGTTCATGAAGAAGAAGAAGAAGCAACCAAAGCACCAAGAGCACTGTCTTGTATACATTCAGCCATGACAGATCAGGTATTCTCCAGGATCATGGCATTTGAGACCCCTAAACAAGCTTGGGACACTCTCAATGAGGAGTTTGGAGGGAGTAACCAGATAAGAAATATGCAAGTTCTAAACTTGAGAAGGGAATTTGAAGTGCTCAAGATGCAGGAGACAGAATCTGTCAAGGAATATGTGGACATACTTATGGTTGTTGTGAACAAAATCAAACTGCTAGGGGAAGAACTAACCAAGCAGAGAGTAGTGGAGAAGGTCCTAGTCAACTTACCTGAGAGGTTTGAAGCAAAAATTTCGTCCCTAGAAGACTCTAAAGATCTGTCCCGAATCAGCTTGGTTGAGCTAGTTCATTCACTTCAAGCCTAGAAACAAAGGAGGCAGCTGAGGCAAGAAGACTCAATTGAGGCAACCATGTTTGCAGGACAAAAAGGAAGAGTACAAGGAAAGGAAGACAAGAAATACGGTGGTGAAAAGAAAGCAAAAGAGAAGAGCAACAATCAAGGAGGGAAACGTGGTGGACCAAGATCATTTCCTCCATGTGTGCACTGCAAAAAGAAGAACCATCCAAAATATAAGTGTTGGTTCAGACCTGGCATACAATGCAGGTCATGCAAGCAGTATGGACACATAGAAAAAGTGTGTAAAAGCAAGGGAAATCAGCAGGAGCAGCAGGCTACAGTGGTGGAGGTCCAACAACAAAATCCAGAAACCAAACAACTCTTCATGGCTTCATGCACAAACCACAACATGTGTGATGATGTATGGCTAATTGACAGTGGCTGTACAAACCACATGACTCCAAATCTGTCAAGTTTTGTGAGCATTGATAAACTTTTTCACTCCAAAGTCAAGATTGGCAATGGAGAATTTGTGGAAGTCAAAGGAAGAGGTAAGGTTGCTGTCCCAACTCCATTAGGCACTAAATATATTTCAAATGTTCTTTATGTACCCTAAATTAACCAAAGTTTGCTGAGTGTGGGTCAGATGCTAGAAAATAACTACTCCTTGCACTTTCAAAACATGTCTTGCATTGTAGTAGATAACTTAGGAAATGAGTTGATGAATGTAAGAATGCTTGGGAAAAGTTTTCCAATAGAATGGAAAAATTCAACTTTACATGCCTTGTCTGCAAAATGTGTTGAAACTGAAGTTTGGCATAAAAGACTTAGGCATTTTCATTATTCAGGTCTTAAGGAAATAGGGAGGAGACAACTTGTTCAGAACATGCCCGAAATTGAGGAGAAGGAAGGGGTGTGTCAAGTTTGCCAACTAGGGAAAATCAGTAGGCAACCATTTCCAGCAAATCAATCTTGGAGAGCTGTTGAAAAGCTTCAGCTTATATACATAGATGTGTGTGGTCCCATGCAGGTTCCTTCTCTGAATGGCAGCAGGTATTTTCTGTTGTTTATAGGTGACTTCACCAGGGTATGCTAGGTTTACTTCTTGAAACAAAAAGGTGAGGTGGCTGCAATGTTTAAGGGGTTTAAGCAAATGGTGGAGAATGAAACTGGTTTGAGTTTGAAAACCATCCGGAGTGACAATGGTTCAGAGTATACCTCAAACCAGTTTCAAGAACTTTGTGCAGGGTCCAGAATAAAGCACCAGCTGAGCACTCCTTACACACCACAACAAAATGGTGTGAGTGAAAGAAAAAACAGAACCGTAATGGAAATGGCAAGATTTATGTTGTTTGAAAAAAGGCTACCAAAATTTTTCTGGGCTGAAGCTGTAAATACAACAATCTACCTTCTCAACAGGCTACCAACTAAAGCCTTGGATAACAAAACACCATTTGAGGCTTGGTATGGAGTAAAGCCAAGCATCAACCACCTCAAAGTATTTGGGAGCATTTGTTATGCTCATATTCCAGCCAACAAGAGGAGTAAGCTGGATGAGAAGGCTAAAACTGGAATTTTTGTTGGATATAGTAGCTTGTCCAAAACATATAGGATTTACAATCCTAAGACCAAAAAATTCTTGGTTAATCGAGATGTAAAAGTAGATGAAGATGGGTTGTGGAACTGGGACAAAAATGAAATTGAAGGGAGTAATATGCAGGAACAATGAGGAGATTTAACAACTAATCAGGATGCTTCAGATTTTAGTTCTGATTCTGAAGCTGATCCTCCAGTCAGGGGAACTAGACCTTTGGCTGAAATTTATGACAAATGCAACTTGGCCTTGATGGAACCAACTTGTTATGCTGAAGCAGTCAAGGTTGAAGAGTGGAGGACAGCAATGGAAGAAGAACTTGACATGATTGAGAAGAATGCAACCTGGGAATTGGTGACCAGACCTACCGAAAGAAAGATCATTCAGGTGAAATGGATTTATAAGAAGAAAATGAATCCTGATGGTTCAGTTAATAGACACGAAGCAAGGCTTGTAGTGAAGGGTTATGCACAGCAGTTTATGGTGGACTTCACTGACACTTTCGCACTAGTTGCAAGGCATGACACCATCAGAATCTTTCTTGCAATTGCAGCCCATTTCAAGTGGAAAGTCTTCCAAATGGATGTGAAATCTGCTTTCTTAAATGGGTGGCTTAATGAAGAGATCTTTGTGGAGCAACCTGAAGGGTATACGGTTGAAGGGCAAGATGATAAGGTGTATCTCCTTAGAAAGGCTCTTTATGAATTAAAACAGGCCCCTAGGGCCTGGTACAGCAGAATCAATGAATTCTTGATAAGTTTGGGGTTTGAAAGAACTTATGCGTCCATGAGTGGGGGGAAAGAAGGGATCGTAAGAGTGGTCGCACTTGAAGTTAATTCAATTATATAATCTGTTTAATTAGTTGGTAGAGATGTTCACATTTTTCTTAAAATTTGGATTTCACTTTATGGTGGAAGGAGTTCATCAAAAATTTGTTTAACTCTTTTCTCAGAAACTGAAATCCGAATTTTTAAAGATGTGTTGATGTAAGCATATATCTAAGAAAAATTAGTAAAAATACATAAATATATAGTATGATAAATATATATAACAGTGTCTGGTAAGAATAATATTGTCAAAGCTGGCTAGTTTTCTAAGTTCTTATGAATTTATTTATGTATTTGTTGAATGGTGACACTGAAAGCCACTTATTATTTATTCTATCTGTTATGTTTTTGTTTCTGTCTTTGTAACTTGTGAAATAAGTTTATATAAGATTAGTACATGAAACTGGTAAATTAGCATGACCATTTATCCACCGATCAATGTGTAAAAAATTAGGCAAACTGTTAGATTTCTAGGGTTTACTTAAGACTAAATCAGCAGTGAAACGTTTATCAACTTAACAATCAGACATATGACAAATGAAGATAAAGTATAAAACAAGCATAAACAAGACACAGAATTATAGTGGTTCGGCTTTACAGCCTACATCCACTCTCCAAGGCTCACAATAGGGCATTTCATTTCAATCAAGATAGTACAGAGATAATGATTGAATCAGAACATGAAAGATTACAGATAAGGAAAGAACACACCCAAATCTGAAAACCTTAGATTTCTTTAATCTGAAATCTGCTTCTTCCTTCAGCATCAGCATGTGTTAAATACACATGATCCACTCCTAGATCGTCATCCACCTGTCTCTGATTCCTCCATAATCGTAGATGAAAATCAATTCTGGAACTTTCTTTAGGGGTAAGAGCTGTCGAACCAAAACAGAAAAGAGAGAGATGAAGTCTGCGTAAATGTGTGATAGCCTAATCAGATAACACATTAGGTTTGGCCAAAACGACGTCGCAACAAGTGTTTGACTTTTAATTAAAGAAGTTAACTTCCACCGTGGCAAATGAGAAGCCACATCATCACAATTCTCTACCTTGGCTTCTCGATTTGTCACCCCATGTGACCTTGGAAATTCATCAGTTCACTCTTGAACTTGAAGTAGGCTCATGTAGAGCCTGTGCTTTTCAAATGGAACAGGTATTGTGAACATATCAACAAGATTATGAGAGCCATCAATTTTTTCAATCTCGATTTCTCCTCTTTCGATCATTTCCCTAATGAAATGAAGGCGAACATCTATGTGTTTGGTTCTTTCATGGTATACTTGGTTTTTGCAGAGGTGAATTGCACTCTGGCTGTCACTGTTAATCATCACTCTCTATTGCTTAATACCCAGCTCATTTATCAATCCTCTCAACCAGGTAGCTTCCTTTGCTGCCTCAGTTAATGCAACATATTCTGACTCAGTTGAAGACAGGGTAACCATATGTTACAGCTTAGATTTCCAACTGACAACATTTCCCCACATAGTGAAAACAAATCCAGATGTAGACTTCCTTCTGTCTATATGTCCTACATAATCTGCATCACAAAAACC